CTTCCCACCTGTCACCTTCACCTCTTGATTCTGCACAGCAGCCAGACGGAGGCTTCTGAAGAGAAGCTGCACCATGTCACTCTCTGTCCAGAAAGGTTTGTTAGTCCCACATCTTACTCAGAAAAGATTATGAATTCCAAACCAATCTTCAGTGACAATCCCAAATATTTGACAATGATTTCCTTTTATAGAAAGGCAGGTTTTTCACTTTGAAACATAGTAAAATTGCAGTGTATCAGTTTAGTTAAAAATCCAGCAGCCAAATATACTACTTAGCCATCAAGTTTACCTGTGTAAATTCCCTTAAATTCACATATCTATGCTTATTACATAATGGTTTTAAATAAAAACAATCAAAATCTTTAGTTAAATAATACCACATCTGGATTGAATCATGGTAGTATGGATATTTTTTAGAAATTCTATGGGTCTGCTAATCCTAAGCGGCCTGTTCAGCCACCGTTTTGTTACCTACAGTTCTAAATACTAAGCAAGGTCAGAATGGCCTGGTCAGTTAGGCACAGAGCCCAACCCTGCAAAGTGCCTTTCAAATCAAACAAGATTTTTTTTGTTTCAATAATAAAAGGAATGGTTATCTTGATTTCCTCTTCTTCAGATTTATTGTTGTGTATAGGAAGGCTACTGATTTTTGTGTGTTGATTTTGTATCCTGCCACTTTACTAAACTGATTGATTAGTTTAATTAGTTTTTCTGTGGAGTTTTTGGGATTCTCTATGTATATCATCATATCGTCTGAGAATAGTGATAGTTTGAATTCTTCCTTGCCTATTTGGATTCCTTGTATGTCTTTCTTTTGTCTTATTGCTCTGGCTAGGACTTCCATTATTATGTTGAAAAGCAGTGGTGAGAGTGGACATCCTTGTCTTGTTACAGATCTTCATGGGAATGCTTTCAGCTTTTCACCATTGAGAATGATATTGGCTGTGGGCTTGTCATATATGGCCTTTATGATGTTGAGGTATATTCCCTGTATGCTGAGGATTTCAAGGGCCTTTATCATAAATGGGTGTTGTACTTTGTCAAATGCTTTCTCAGCATCTATTGATAATATCATATGGTTTTTATAATTCTTTGTTGATGTGTTGGATTACATTGATTGATGTTAGCATGTTGAACCATCCTTGTGTCCCTGGAATAAATCCTACTTGGTTGTGGTGAATTATCTTATGGATACATTGTTGGATTCTGATAGCTAAAATTTTATTGAGGATTTTTGCAGCAGCATTCATTAGAGAGATTGGCCTGTAATTTTCTCTTTTTTTGTGCTGTCCTTGTTTGCTTTTGGTATTAGTGTAATGTTGCCTTCATAGAACGTTATTGAAACAAAAAAAAAATCAAATACTTGGGAATAAACCCAACAAAAGAAGCAAAGCACCTATACAAAGAAAACTATAAAGCGCTGCTAAAAGAAATAGAAGAAGACACAAAGAAATGGAAAGACATCCCCTGCTCATTTATCAGAAGAATTAACATTATCAAAGTGGCCATCCTACCAAAAGCAATCTATAGATTAAATGCTGTTCCAATAAAAATGTCAATGTCATTCTTCAAAGAAATAGAAAAAACATTGATGAAATGCTTATGGAGCCACCAAAAACCCCAAATAGCCAATCCCTCCTGGAAAAAAAGAAGGAAATGGAGGCATTACACTCCCAGATTTAAAAATATATTACAAAGCCATAATAAAAAAACTGCATGGTACTAGAACAAGAACAGACACACAGACCAATGGAACTGAATAGAAAACCCAGAAATAAACCCACAGATTTATGGTCAACTAATATTTGACAAAGGAGCAAAGGATATGCACTGGAGCAAAGAAAGTTTGTTCAAAATATGGTGCTGGGGAAACTGGGTTGCTACATGCAAAAGAATGAAACTTGACTACTACCTCACACCATCCACAAAAACCAACTCAAAATGGATTAAAGAACTAGACATAAGACCTGAAACCATAAAATATATAGAAGGAAATATAGGCAAAACACTACATGACATGCACCTCAAAGACATGTTTACAGACACATCACCCAAAGCAGTGATCGTGAAGGCAAAGATAAACAGCTGGGACTATATCAAATTAAAGAGCTTCTGTACAGCAAAAGAGACAATAGCCGAAACAAAGAGAAACCCCATGGACTGGGAGAAATTTTTGCATACAACACTAATGATAAAGGACTGATCACAAAAATCTACAAAGTACAAAGAGCTGACGAGTCTCAACAAAAACAGAGAAAATAATTCAGTCAAAAAATGGGCAGAAGAACTAAAAAGAAACTTCTCTGAAGAGGAAATGCAAATGGCCAACAGGCAAACGAAAAAATGTTCAACATCACTTGTAATCAGGGAAATGCAACTCGAAACTATAATCTTACACCACTGAGAATGGCACATATTAAAAAAACTAGCAACAACAAATGTTGGCAAGGATGTGGAGAAAAAGGAACTCTCCTGCAGTTCTGGTGGGAGTGCAAACTGGTCCAACCACTATGGAAAGCTGTGTGGAGATTCCTCAACCCACTAAAGATAGAGATTCCATATGATCCAGTAATTCCATTCTTAGATATTTACCCAAATGACACAGAAACATTAATTCCAAAGAGCACCTGCACCCCTATGTTTATAGCAGCACAATTTACAATAGCTAAGCTTTGGAAACAACCCAAATGCCCAAAAATAGATGACTGGATCAAGAAGATGTGGTACACATACACAATGGAATATTACTCAGCAATCAAAAAAGATAAACACATGCAATTTGCAGCAACATGGATGGAGCTGGAAGGATCATGCTCAGTGAAATAAGCCAGAAAGAAAAAGAAAATATGGATGGTTCACTCATAGCAGGAATCTAGAAAACCTAAATAATTGACCAGGAAAAAGCCTAATTTTAATAAAGAAAAAAATCAAAATCAACAAACAACTATAAACCAGAAACACTTTTTTTTTTAAATAATTTTATTTATTTATTTATTTGTTTGTTTGTTTGTTTGTTTGTTTATACAAGCACTGGGTACAGTCAGAAGCATGGGAGGGTAGAGAAATCACCAGAGCCAGAGCAGGAGCAGAGCAGGCAGAAGGACTGAAATAGACACTGCTGAGGGGCAGCAGCGGGCTGCAGGAGAGGTCTGCGCGCCATGTGGGACTCTCCTCTGGTGGCTGGGGAGCAGCCGGGGATCGAACTGGCGCTGCAGAGGCTGCGGGCAGCTTCGCAACCCAGCGTTCAACTGCTGCGCCACCGGGGAGGGGAGGCCCAAGAGACACACTTTTGAGGGTGCGGGGAGAGGAGGGATTGGGGTCAAATATAGGAAGTGCAATTATGGGAATAATAAAATAAGAAAGAAGAAAAGAAAAAAAAAGAAAAGAAAGAAAGAAAGAGAAGAAAGAAAGAAAGAAAGAAAGAGAGAGAAGAGAGAGAAAGGAGAGAGAGAAGAGAGAGAGAGAGAGAGAGAGAAGAGGAGAGAGAAGAAAAGAAAGAAAGAGAAAGAAAGAAAGAAAGAAGAAGAAAGAAAGAAAGAAAGAAAGAAAGAGAAAGAAAGAAAGAAAGAAGAAAGAAGAAAGAAAGAAAGAAAGAAAAGAAGAAAGAAAAAAAAATCAAACAAGAGCAAAAAGCTGGAATATGCTGGGAAGGTATGACCAGGAATGCCCGGAGGGCCCTGGGGACAGATGTATAACAAAGGACCCCAGAAGCTGATCAGTGGAAGGCCTTGTTGATAAAATTAAAACCAAGACTGGGGAACTAGGCTGTGATCTCAATGACAATACCAGTCATCAAGTAGGTAAGAAGTGCCTGGAGGAAGACTCATAATCCCTGATCTTCTACATTCTTCCCCTTTCCTTTTTTCTCCCGCAACCTCTTATGCTGTATATTAATAAAAAGGCCAGGATCTTGCTCTTCAGCAGCATCCTGTATTATGTAACCTGCCCACGACTCCTGCTTCTTATCAGTGTGGTGTTGCCTGATGCAACAATCAAGTACAAGATCCATCTCAGACCCAGCAAACAACAGAGACTGGGGATCCAGTGGTGCTGTAAGTATAACAAGACACAGTTGGGGACGCAGTCAGTGGGAGTCAGGCTTTGTCATCAAATGAGTTTGATGACAAACTAGAGAGGGTCAGTTCACCTTCCAGTGCTGCTGGGCCAGGAAGCCTGGGCTGGTCTGCAGCCCTGTTCAGCAATAGGTGCAGCCTAGCAGGGCTTAAGGATAATTTTGAAGTTTGGCTTAATCTGGACTTTTGTTTGCTTTCTCCACACCTATATATATTTCTCTTTTCCTTTTGACTTAACCCTCTTCCATCCATGTTGCTGCAGTGGCATGAGTTATGTTTTCTGACCGTGGATACTGTTTCATATACAAGTACATATATTACCTGTACATGCACATATATGTATACATGTAATCCCAGCTTCTACTTGATTTGTCACCTGTCTGGGGCATTCAGGTGGTGTCCATAGCTTGGCTACTGTAAATAGTGCTGCAGTGGTGACGGGAGTGCAGGTCCATTCACAGGAGAGTATTTATCCTCTGTGAGTAGATCCTCAGTGTAGAATTGTTGGGTCCAAGGGCAGAACCATATTTACTTTTTTAAGAAACCTCAATACTGTTTCCATAAGGGCTGGCTCAGTCTATATCCAAAAACACTGTAGGACTGTCCCCTTTTTTCCATATGCTTGCCAGCACTTGTTTCTGGTCTTTGGATGTGGGCCATTCTCGCAGGTGTAAAGTAGTTTAAACCAAGGGATCATAAAGCCACAAAATGTGGGAAAAAAGAAATCCTGTAACACTCAGACGAACACAGGGCTGTCTCACACCATGAAAGAAAGTAATCATGAAGAAATTCACATGAATTACTTAAGTATTAACAACATCAATAGTCTACTACATTCTCAAGATGTCCTCCTGAAAGCATCCCCATCACCTAGTCCCAGCCTCTCTGCCTCAACCCCCAGCACTGCAGTCCTTGAGGGTCTCATCTTTAGGGGCTGACATACACTTCAGAGTCCTGCAGACTATGCCTGCCTGGGGGAGAACACAACAAAACTTGGTCGGAGATGAGACCACAGGAGGAACTGATGAGGGTGTCTCCCCATGGGCTCCATCAACACTGTCACCAGGGGCTCAGGGATCCAACTGCTGATTCACACTTACCTGGATCTTGAGTATAGCTTCCTCCTTGTCCACCTGTGGAATGAAACATCATGTGAGACCAGGGAGCAGCCAGGTCAGAAGTCCTAAAGGAATTTTCTAATCCTGCAGAACAGGGAAGTTTCCAGAACTATGACTAAAGACCCAGGTCAGGACTGTGAAAAATGAAGAAAGGAGGTGAGGGGTGACTGGACCAAATGCCCTCTGGGCAACACACATGTGTATGGATGGTACTTCCCATTAACCAGGCAGGGCAAGTTCTCCCTGGGACATGGAAGCCCCCAGTGGACAAAATCCCCCACTCCCTTCCCTACCTGAGCACTTCTTCCTCCACATCACAGCAGCAGCGACCGCAGCTCCGGTGAGCACAGTTCCAAGGAGAACCAGGCCAGTAATGATTTTCCCGGTGGGGACAGAGGCCTGAGGAGGGGGCACTGGAAGGGAAGGGAAGGTGAGACTCTGAGTCCCAGGCCTCATCCTGAACCTCTGAATAGCTCCAGAAGGGCTCCTGATCCCCCAGGAGGCTTGTGTCCATGTCTCTTCCTTACCCCATCTCACAACTTGGGGGTCCACCAACCCCTCATGCTGCACGTGGCACGTGTATCTCTGCTCCTCTCCAGAAGGCACCACCACAGCTGCCCACTTCTGGAAGGTTCCATCCCCCCCAGGCCTGGTCTCCACCAGCTCCGTGTTCTGGGTCAGGTTTTCCCCATCTCGCTGCCAGGTCAGGTGATGTCCGCAGGGTAGAAGCCCAGGGCCCAGCACCTCAGGGTGACCTCATGGTCAGAGGTGAGGTGGAGGGTCATCTGTGTCTTTGGGGGATCTGGGGAGAAGGGTAAAAATACTCACACTTTGGGTTTTTCTTTCCTGGACACTGAAGCAGCTTCACTGACCATCCTCAGAATGGACATGACAAGGGTTTGGAGGGAGGAAGCACAAAATCCAGAAATCAGCCTAGTCTGGAGAATCTGGGATAATCAGGTGAGAGCCCAGGGTAGGAGGATGCAGGTTTCTAAGGAGAACACAGACTTTTGCTCCTGACCAGTGTGGAGGTGAATGACACAGAAAGGCAGGAGTCAGATCCAGAAATGTTCTCAGACCAAAAACAAGGCCTTGAAAGAAACACTCATGTTTCCCAGGATGGCTGCCGGGTCAAAGGATCCAATGAAGATTTCAGGATGGCCTCCCCTCCCTCAGGAGAGACTGGATCCCTTAACCGTCCAGAAAAGTGGTATCTTCTGGGCGAGTGTCTCTAGCACAGAACATGACACCCAGGGGGACTCTCCTCTCTGCCCAGAAAGCAGCTGCTGTTCTGCCCATTATTCCATTTCCCTGTGGGGCCAAGAGAGGGGAGGTCCGAGGCCTCTTGGCCCCTCTTACCTGTGTGCTGCAGCACCTCCTCCCCCATCTCCAGGAGTCTGCGGAGCCGCGGGAAGCACCTGCTCTGCACACTGTGCCTGACGCGCTCGGCCCTGCCCGCCGCCTCCCACGCGCGCTGGGTGATCTGAGCCCCCGAGTCCGCGGGGGTCCAGGAGCGCAGGTCCTCGCTCAGGGAGATGGAATCCGCGCCATCGTAGGCGAACTGGTCATACCCGCCGAGGAGACTCAGGTCTGGCCCCACTTCACAGCCAAACATCCTCTGGAGGGTAGACCCCTGAGACCCACCCCTGTGGTCACTCCGAGGTCACCCGCCTTTTCACCCTGAATAAACCTAAACTGAAAATGAAAGGGCCGGCTGGACAGTCCCTTCCCTGGGGAGGGTCCTGGCAGATCCACCAGCCTCGAGGGGTCAGTGGACCCTGAGACCCGGGACACCCCGGCCTTAGGGTGGGAATGGGGGTGACCTGACCCTGGCCCCGCTCCGCGAAGCTCACCGTCCTCGCTCTGGTTGTAGCGGCCGCGCAGGTCCCTCAGGAGCTTTGAGCCACTGCGCGTTGTCCCTTTGGTTCTGAGTCTCCTCGTCCAGGTCCTCCTGCCCCACCTGCCCCGCCCAGGGCGCCCGCGGCTCGCGCTCTGGCCCGAGAGTCGCTGTCGAACCACCCGTACTGCGTGTCGTCCACGTAGCCCACGGCGATGTAGCGGGGCTCCCCGAGGCCGGGCCGGGGCATCATGGTATAGAAAAAGCCTCAGGGAGTGGGAGCCTGGGGCGGGAGGGGAGACCCGGGCTGACCCTCCTCTCAGCGCGGGCCCAGGGCCCAGGGAGATGGGCCTGGAGGGAGAAGAGGGGCGGGGCCGTGAGAGTGAAAAGGGGCGGTGGGCCAAGAAGGGCCCAGACTCAGGGGCCCAGAGCACTCAGGGGAGCGGGAGGGACAGAAGGGGCCAGAACACAACTGGCCTGCAGGGGGTACAAGAGGTTGGGGAGGAGATGAGCCTTTCCTGGGGTCCTGCACCCGCAGGGGGCTCCTTGCTCCTCCCTCCTGGAGCAACAGTGTCCAGCTGGACACGCACTCACCCGCCCGGTCTCCATCAGGGCCAGGGGCCCCAGAGCAGCAGCAGGAGCGGGAGGGGCATCACACCCCATCCAGGGGTCTGGGGAGAAGGAGTCCAGGAGAGTCCTTGGAGACTTTGGAACTGGAGCAGATGATGCTGATTGTCTTCCCTGGAAACCCCCCAGGAAATGGGGAGAGAGAATGGGGGTGAGTGTGGGGTCATCAAGGCTGCACCACCCCACAGAGCCTGTGAGAGGGAGACATGATGCTGTGACAGTGTGACATCCACAGACAGGGGAGGCTCCAAATTCTCTCCTCACCTTAGGGAGGAGTGGATTTGGGCTGGGAGAAGCAGCAGCCTGGAGGAATAAAGAAACTAGTAGTATTTGCAAATAATTGTGAATATAAATACTAAATTAAAACTGTACACACGGTAGTTTCTCAAAGGTTATTTGCAAAGTAAAACCTGAAATAATATCAGGGAATATTTCCTATTCTGTTAAATGTCCATGGGCCTCTCTTGCATATTGGTTGGGACTTGTGCTAATGTATGATTTTTAAGGTGATATGTTGTTTCACTAAGTTACATAGATTTTTAGTGTTAATTACACTGGAATCAAATGATCAAAAAAGTTTTATTTTTTTAATCACAAATCCCAAAAGAAAAATTTGTGCTGTAAATTGTCAAGTAGTGATGCACTCAGTTTTTCATAATTCTGGTTTTCCCTGAGAGCTTATATTTTATCAGGCAAAATTACTGTCATTTGCCAGTTGTTGATTTTCTTCAAGAAACGTTCATTCATTTTGAGGAAAGTGTCTGCTAATTAACCAAATTTAAATAACCTTAGTTTGTGTCATTCATCCCTCAGGTAAGATTGGTGTTGCCCACAAATAAAAAGAGTCTAATTCATCTCGTAACAAATATTTTCCTCAAGACACAGGGCTTGGGATGCCACAGAGGTGCTCTGTGTGTCCTTCGGTCAGCACACCAGATAATTTCAAATGTGGAGTTGAGATGATGCAATAATGAAGATAACTTCTAATGCTTTTTTTCAGGACATTTTCAAGTGAAACTGGCTTTGATTTTTGTTCCTGCAGGTAAGTGCTGGTGAAGAATTACTACTTCTGCAGTGGTACTATAAGCTCCACTCTTTTTTTTTTTCTATTTTACATATTTTATTTTATATAATTCTTACATCTTTTTTCATTTTTGCACAATGTGTGCATTTTCATTTTGGTTATATTCCCCATACAATTGCATCCCCCCCCCCTTATTTTGACTCTAGCTCCACTCTTATGAATTTTTACCTCAGCAAATGCCAAATAGTGAAAAGACAAATGGTGTCTAAGTGATGTTTTGAAACTAGTTTTACCTCATGGATCCCATGAAAGATTCTGGGTGATGTCAAGGGCTCCACAACCACACTTTGAGAAATGCTTTTCTCAGTGAACCAGGGAGCATCTCTCAAGTGTTCTCTGCCTTTGCCTTCTTCACTTCCCAGCATCCCTCTCCCTGGCTGGCTCCTGCCTCCCCAAGCTGCCTCTCCTGCAGATACAATGGGGAGCAGAGAGAGAACCCTGGAGACGTGGAGCTTGCACTGTCATGAGAGATGGTCACTGAGTAAAGGTGACAAAGACATGTGTACCCTACCTGAACCCTGTGCTGGGAGGAAAGGAGTGTGTTTATTGTGAAAGCAGAGAAGCAGGAGCCCTAACAGGACCCGACCACTACTATCAATAGTATCAAAAAATATATATGTTAAAAACAAATTAAGCATAAGGAAAAGATTTTATCTCTTCCCATAACTGTTACTCCTGCCCCTGACACACATGCTCTGGCCTCATAGAACCAGCCTGTCCCTCTTCCTCAGCCCCCCTCCACGTCCTGCCCAGCACCCAACCATACTGAGGAGGCCTGTAGCCTAATCTACAGCCTGGTCCTGACCCCATCCCCCTCATCTGCTCTCTCCTCATTTATATGCGCTGAAGGTCAGGCCTCCCAAGATGTTCAGAAAGGTGTCTCCAAGACAGGCCATTTGGTGTGTGAATTATTTCCATCTGAGGTTCATTCATCCGGGTTACCACTTCTATACCTAGTATGAAAATTGGTGGTCTTACCCAAAATTAGGGTTATTACCAGAAATAGCTTTGTACCCGAGAAACTTCCCTATATGTCAGGGCAAACATAGAACATCTGATCTTTGTCATGAGTCATCTTTTTTTTTTTTTTGAGATAAAACTATCTGGAGAAATGCACAAATCTTTAAGTATACTACTGTACTTTGTCAAGAACATTATGTATATTGTGGTTTTTCTTCTCTTGGAAACACGAACATTTAAATAATTGAATGATGTGTCTCACTTACCAGTACAATTTATCTGCCCTCCCTCCTTTTGAGTAACTGCCACAGTTCAATCTGAAGCCTCTCTGGCCCCTCCATTCTCAGCACATTCCTGTGGCCACACGCTCCTTGGAACAGAGCCCAGGCCTGAGTCATCTTCATAGTTATTTATTTTTTATTGTATTTATTCAGATAACTTTGATTTTTCAAAGTTATTTTTCATATTTTTTGGGGGGCTATAGGTGCAAAACTCCAAAATACATCTTATTGTCCCATATAAATGTGATATATCAATATATATAAAAGGTTATTCATCTTAACCTTCCAACAAATAAGTTTATCTAACTCTCCCTTTTCCTTCATCCACAAAAACTATAAGTCAATCAGAAGCAGCAGCTTAGCTGTTTTCATACCTTCACAGCCATATATACCTTTTATATCCATGGTAAATATTCTAATTATCAGTTTTATTAGAGAAACTTGTATTTACAGAAATGTCTGAAGTATAATTTCATTAGAGCAATAAATGATCGTTTCTTCTAGAAAAACAAATGTCTGGAGTTAGATGAAAGACAAGGAAATAGAGCACCCCTGGTAGCACAGGGTTTTAAGTCGCAGCACTATCAAGCTATCAGCAGCCACAATGGCATGAATTTGATCCCCAACCAGGGAGCTGGTCCACATGGCACAGCAGACCTCTCCTGTCTTGCATGCTGCTCCCCTCAGCAGTGTATTTCAGTAGATCTGCCTGTACTGCTCCCCCACTCTGTATTTAGTGACTCTTGTCACCCCTACACTTCTGGCCTATTCCCTGGTTCTTGTATGCATAAATAAATAAAAATAAATCTTTCATGAAAAAGAAAGACAAGAAAATAATGCTTTTACTTTATAAATCCTGTATGCAGTCACCCAATGCACATCAATTCCTTTATATGAGTACTATCTT